CGCGCATATATCTGTCGGACAATGATACCCCAGGTGTTTTTTATTGGATTTGGATCTAGGCTGCTAGCAGGCCATTCCAGTACACTGATTTTGTTGACGTAAACCCGGTGTTGAGTGGACCGGCTGCGATGGATGGTGGCGTAATCGTGCATAAAGATGAAGTTTTGCCGACGACTTCCACACAGAAACGAGAGAAGATCATTAAGAAAAGCATCCTGATTCTCACTGGGGTCCATTTGACACGAGACGAAAGACAGAGGGAGCACAGCATCGCTGTAGAATGCAGCTCAGACCATCTGTAGCCCACCACCAACTGCGCGCGGCGGTCCACCCGAGCCGAAGTCTCTCCTCGCTGCTAAAATACCAGCGGATCTTTGCTAAAATCTCTCCAGAATCTGTGATGACCATCCGGCCCGTCTAAGTTGAAGTTCTTTCAACCACAGAAAATGAACTGAACACTACAAGCCATTAACTAAACGTCATGATGAAAGTGTCTCCCTACCCCCGTAGAATCACCTACCGAACCCCAACTCGTTCGCATGTTCCTCCGGGCGAGTTCGAGACGAGGTGCTTTGTGATGCTGTTCCGGACGTGGAGTCTTCATCATGGATTGTCGCACGATATTTGGAGCAGAGTTAGCGACCCTCCAGATGGAACTTTTCGAAGCAAAAAGGGAGAGCTCGTATCGGATCTGACTGATGGTCGCAGTAGAATTGGAAAGGGATCGTTTAATATGGCGGATATAATACTCAAGCAGAACACGTGACCTTTCAGGGATCTTTCCTTTCATGATAAGCTGGATTCCTCAAAAGAAATGTCGATACAGCTTTGAGAACGTCCAAGTTGAGCAGCAATGGAGCGATTTGAATGGGCAGCTCGATGTAACGTCCTCGCACGAACTTGCTCTTCCAAAGAAAACGTAGATCCACGAGATATGTGAAGACGTAATGTGGTTTCGTAGCTAATTATGGCCAAAGAACTCCAAATGAGTTAACAGGAACAAAAATTTTTACCGCTGTTGCCTACTCGCCGCCCGGGTGGCTTTATACTTTTGAAACAGGGGAGTTTTTCAAATTTTCTTATGGAACCGTTTCTAGCTTATAGTGGTTTGTACAACAAAGTTTACTATAGTTTCAGAAGCGTGCTGAATTCGATGAACTATTCATCAAATCACGGAACCTTCATGGGTCTAACTGAAGCAGGCTCAGTTCCCAGGTGGGCTTTGTACGTTTGAGAACTCAATTGTAGTACCTGACAGCAGTAGCAAGTGGAGTAAACGCTCAATCGCCAACTGTCGACAAAAACAACTTTCGCTTCTTTTTCCCTTCCCACTGCAACATGAGGAAATCCGGATACTAATAAAATAGGCACTGTACTTTGCTCCAGATTACACGAAAAAACGAAATTATGTAAGTTGCACACAGCATGGAAATGAAATGGAGAAGTGCAAAGCACTGGCGTATAACAATGAACTCAGCAAAGTCCCCCTATCCTTCTTCCCTCTCGCTTCTATTGAACCAAGATCGTCCCCTAGCTTATAGTTCCAAAAATGCCTAAAGCGAGCTCTATGGGAACTAAAGAGGATTAAACAACAAGGTCGGAGGTTAAAAAGAGGAATGTAGCCGGACGGAAGGCAGGCGGCCATCTCATAAGGGGAAAAGCGCGTTTCGCAGTGAAGGATGTACTCCCGAGCGTGTAGAAGAATTGGACCCGTGGCAGTTAACAGGCGACGGCCGCGCCTTCCTAGTCGCAGCCTACTCCCTCGCCGTCACTGGAGCCTAGACTCGTTCATGGCACGCCTCGGCCAGTTTTCTTGTCTTTTTGTGCTTCATGGCCGCAGCTCAACGGCAATGGCCCTAGATAAACCGGGTGTGGGTTCTTGGCACATGAATGCGTATGTTTCGGGCGAAATGGGCCCGACTGTGAAAGAAGTGCGTTTCCGTTTCAAAAATGCTCATCTCGAGGGCTTACTCACTTTTGTAATCAGCTATTCTATGGCAATGAGAGACTAAGCGCGGAGAATATGAGGCGAGAGAGCGCAACAGATGAGAGGGTGCCAGACAACAGCCTGATAAACGAAAAAAATGCAGCTGGCACGCTAGTTTTGGCAGAGCCTAGGCGCTCGTTTCGGGCATATTTCCGTGCATGGGCGGAAGCCGACCATGGTAATTTATGTTCTCGGGTTTATCTTACAGCCTGCCGAGAGATCGTTCATGGAGAACGACTTCTACCCGGGTTGTGTCTTTAACTCCGCTTTTGAAAGGTGATGAGCGTAGCCTCCTGCGTTAGAAAAATCGTAACAAATATGTCAAAATCAAATAAAGTTAAAGTACAAAAAGAGATAAGTTCGAATAACAATATTACATTGCTTTATTACAATGACATTTATATGTTTTTATATAAACACGCCTATGTTGTCTGGATTTTCGCTAATTTAACGCAAGAGAAATATCACACTTTGCTTAATTCAGTGTAGAATTTCGCCACTTGCTTGTGATATTTCGGCAATTTCGCCTAAAATTAAGTTCGTTTATTTGTGGAAATCTGACTCTATTTTGAATCTGCTAGTAAATCCGAAAGTATAAAAATGTTTTGATACGCTTAACAAGAAATCTTGATTGATCCTGTGCTAGACCAAGTATGATCATAACAGCATTCTGGCAAAGAGTGCTGTTGGGATCTAGGGGAGCTCGCTACTGGTTGGTGGAACTTAGAGCACTATTCGGCGATTGCGTCTCTTGGAATTGCACCGCGAAATGATAGAGTACAGCATTAGAGACTGGAAGAAGCGTGGTGGCAGCAAAGCTGCTGAGATTACTTTCAAAAGGCCTTCTGTCAGTGTGTGTTTGGTCTTCTTATTTGTATTCGTTCTCTTAAAGTCAGACGGTACGATATAGAGATGACATCACAATCTCAGCCCACACAACAAGCGTGGAATGTGCTTTATAGAGAAATTCTAACTTCCTACACTTATATTAGCGTACGGTAGACCAATTGACACGTCCTACTTCATTGCTGCGATGCATATACTACACCTACGCAAGCACGCAGATGTGTGTTTGCGAGGTGCTTCATTCGAATCAACTTCGGGCTTACCCTAATGTAATCGAGTACGGTAGAGTAAACAAAGAAGTACTGCAGTTCGTTGTGTATACAGTATGCTCGCTGTCGTCGTAGCTCCAATACAATATCTTTTACCTGAACAACGTTTCGACTTGTAATTGTCCAAGTGAGTGATCACGATAGCCGGAGAGTCAGGGCGGTCCTAACCACGCCGCGCGAGCGCCTGAGAGTTTTAGTTGCCAAGAGAATCCATGACATCATCAGGACCGCACCGCCCTCCAGCCATCGCGATCACTGTCCTTGAAATAGACCAGTTCGCTCTAATTGCTCACATTTCCTTCGTATCCTTTGAAAAGTCGTGTACAAACAGCGTCTATAGCAACGAATGTACCGGTTCGACCAACGCCGGCGCTGCAGAGAAGTGTGACTGGACCGGGCTAAATAGACATACATTATCAAAGACTGGTGACTGAGATAACGCAATCTTGTCGCTTAATTACCTCCAACGACTGTGTCCATCGTATCAATCGCAAAACCATTCGACCGCTGGATGGCACGGCCTAAGTAGATCACCTCAAGCCTGCTATCACTACTCTTCTTTCACATTCATATGTGTAAGTGGTGCTGAGCGTGATCGAGGGAGAATAAAAGAAGAAAAATTCCCGTCGTAAAGAGTAGTTGGTCATATCGCCAGCTAGTATCGCAGGGCGTGGGTCCACATGTGAAGCCAACACCGTTTTCACGAACTCTTCACTCAAATTCATCTGATCTGAATCGGTGAGCTCATTTCCATGTTCTGCGCGATGTGTAACGATCCCCTTCGAACAGGTAGCATGACAAACTGGGATATGAGAACAACTCAAAAAAAAACAAAACAAGCCCAAAAAAAAAAAAAAACAAAAAAAAAAAAAAAAAAAACCTCCAAGACCAGAGAAAACTCATATTCGAGTTTAAGGGACTCGAGGCAAATTGAGTCAAATGGCTTTCATGCTGTTATAAGGTTCTAACCATCAGCATAAACGAGAAAAACCGCTTAACAATGCCAGAAACAAAAACAAAAAAGCAAAGTTGTTGAACTCACCTTTTCAGGCCATGTAGTACAATGAGCAAGGCGTGTTAATATTGAATTCGAGCAACCGTCGGGTAATACTTCGAGTGTGTAGACGTCGTACTGATCCTGGTGGTCTATCTGTAATAGCTGTTATCAGACCATGACATTCATTTACTCAAAGGCGGACCCCGGGATTAGCCCCACTAATAGGAACTACTTCGCGAGTGAACGTGTTGTGTCCGTACCTAAAGAGGGAATTGTGCCTGGATTCGAGGAACAAAAGGTCGTTTAGGATACATTAGGCCGATGTCAGACTTTGCGAATCGCGCGATTCGCTAGCGTCCGCGGTCGCGTTGCGGTACCAGCCAATTGAGTGATTCACTGGCCGCGACGCGACCGCAGACGCTAGCGAATCGCGCGATTCGCAAAGTCTGACATCGGCCTACTGCAACCCTCGCCACTGCGCCTTCACCCCTTTTACGGTTGGGCTGACATCAGCTTTCACCTCCCGGCACGTTTTCTCTTGCTCTATCGCATTGTCTCTGTCGTACAAGCATTCAACCTTACTGAAGTTGCAGCGCTTTTGTTCCAGCTTTCGATATTCCTCTAGTTTCTATCACTTTTGGTTCACTACCTCTCACCATCGCCTAGCGTCTATTACATACAGTTTCAGCCCGGGATTGCCCTTTGAGGAAGAATTCACGATCAAGAATAGAGTCGTAACAAAGAGTAATGAGCCTATGGAGAGCACGCGGGCGACCTCCGAGGGTGAGAAGATACGCAATTGGTAGCGAAAGATTTGACCTCGGCGAACATGGCTCATTCTTGGCGCGGTTGGCGGGGTACGCCCACCGACTATCTAATCACTCGCCGCAGGTCTATACGTGGCGAGTGATTAGATAGCAGAGAGAGCGTAGTGTTGAAGAGGGCACAGCGATGAGAGTCGCATCAATGCGCAAATCAAAGGAAGGGGTCCCATTTCTCGGGTTCTGGGCCGTTTCTCATGGTTCTTCCTTCTTTCGTGTACCACTCACCATCCCTAGGTTATTTGAATGAACTTGATTTCCCATCGTGATTCTGCGCTTCGACTACCGAAAGAAACGTATCGTATCATATACACGACAGTCCAAAAGAACAGTTCCGCCTCACGGTCTAATGCGTAGAAGTCATGCGACTTACTCTCTTGTTGTTCACAAACATTTTTCCGTAATATTTGTAACCACCAGCATCAGTTGGCCAGAATTCTTCGCACGACTGTTCACCTTCTTCGTAGAAATTGCACAACATGATCACACCAGAGCACTGCTGCTGAAACCGGTCAGTCAACCTTCTTATTGAAGCTATGAAGCCCTGCATATGAGAAACATATGCAATGCACTATCCACGCTATCGTCCGGGAGAAAGGACTTCTAGCAGTTTCTGGTTTTTCCCTTGACATATCGCCGCCGATGGCCGCCCATATGGGCTGCCAACAACATGCGCTCCTGGGACGATGGCAGCCCATATGGGCTGCCAACTGATAATCGCTTGCCAGGCGCTAGGAATGGACAGATAGGTGGGCAAACCTCGTAATCGAGTGTAAAATGCTTTTAAATTCCTTCACGGGGAAAGTGAATAAATGCTCTTTTCGTAACCACTATTTGTCGTTCTGATCGAAATCCTACTGTTATATGTTTAGATAATCTTTACGCATTGGACATTGCAGAAATTATTTTGTGACATTCATGTTTTTGTTCATTTACAAAACAAAATCTGCGGTTATGTGGTGAGGCGGCGGCGCCCACAAAATCGCGTCCGTCCCACGCGACCGAAAAGTGGAAAAGGGGCGTCGTCGTGAATGTGTTAATGCGTCACCAGTTTAGCTCCATACGCAACCGTGCGCATCACATTATGGGCTCCAGTGAAACTAGGCATCCTGCAGAATACTATGTCACGTGGTTGAGAAACCAATAATAAGATGCTCGACAAAAAGGCACTACATGAAAGTTTAAAGGTATCTCAGTTCCACTGAAAGATTATCGTTCTCAGTGCCGCAGTGGCATGGCGGTCTTAAACCTGAAACGTTCATGACTTCGTAAGCATTTCATTAGTATCCAACTCAAATGTTACAGCGGTCTAATAACTTTTCCGCTATTAGCACGGGCGTAAGAATGAAATGTGAGCAAACACTAGCGTACGTGCTAACTACAAAACTCAAAACAATTTTGTGGTGATCCCTCCGGATGTTGGAGACCAATTCCCACTACCCTGCGCTTGAGGTCGCTCTTTTCTGCTTGATGCTACCTCCACCACTGGATTCTCCTCTCGGTTCCTACCCTTGTCTTCTTGTGGATGTCTATAACAATATGTGCTAGGAGGGGTCTGCGCTGAGGAGCCAGTTCTCTGCCAGGGAGTACATTGATTCCTTCACAGTCCTGAGGGATGATCTTCTTACGATTACACGGTCAATTTCCGTTTCTCGCCCTCCACTGCTGTAGGTGACCTTCTGAGTCTCCCTTTTCGCGAAGAACGTGCTGCAGATTGCCAGATCGTGGGCCGTAGCCAGGTCCAGGACCCTCTCTCCCTCGGCGTTCCTCACTCCTATTCCTCTACCTCCGTGCACCCTTTCCGGCCTCTTCTGTCACTGCCGACGTGCCATTCAGATCACCTGCTATGGTGAGGTTATGAATTGCTTTCCGGGATCGACAAGCTTAGATAAATCCTCCTTATCCATCCGGCTTCCCGCTGTGTTGCGTACGCACGCATGTATATCGTGCAGTACGCTCCTTCGTGTTTATCCATCACAACCATAATCCATCGCTGCGCCGTGTTCACAGCGCAAGACAATCCAAGGGGTCCTAGCGCTGGAGGCCTGAATAGCTCTCACCATCAGCGATGTGGCGTCACGCAGTGCAATGCCTTCGAGTTCGTGTAAACAATAACTGGCAAGAGACAATTCTAGCCCACTTGGAAGGTTGCTAATAATTCATCCTATTAAAGTTCACCTGATTCTGGCTGAATAGTTTATAAGATTCGGAAACAACTGATCATTGAAAGTCATGTGTTATGAACTTTACGACATACTGAACTCATTCAGAGCTTTGATGCCTTGTGAAGATTATCTTGAGAGGAACAGCTGATCGACGAATGTGAGCATTTTACCGCTTGCGACTGTTTACGATAATTTTGCATGATAGCTCCTATCGTGAACTGGTAGGAACCAGAGCGTGCAGAAGCATGTGGGAAGCAGGATGTAGCAATCTGCACTGTTGCATAAGAGATTTCAAAGATAAAGGAGTATGCTACTCTATGGAAGTGAATGACTGACGTCGTTTCTGCCTGCTGATGCAAGGGAGAGGAGGGAAACTGTATGTGAGGGAAACACCAACCGGCCCTACATTCCTCAAGCACCGCTGCAAAGTCGTGTGGAAATAGTCTCCCAAAGGGTTTATTGAAGCGATATTCGCATTGAATACCCTGATTCGAAAACCAGATGCGCAGCGAGTGCAGACCACACACTAGCAGTGACGACAAATTTTTTTTGCCAATGAAATGACTAGCTGGTTGCATTTGTATCTATCAGTTGTCAGTAATCGCAATTATCTTTACCAACTATCAGCTATCACTAGCATCTGGTTTTCGGAGGCGGGGTATAACTTGTGTTGAAGGCGCTGGGTTGGGACATTGAATGAAGTCATAGCTCTAAAGTGATGAAGAGTCTTAACTTACTTAAAGGAGGAATTCCACGATAAGACGAAGGTCGAAGAAGGGGAAAATTGCCTAGTTGGGAGACAGGCGGACCTCCTGAGGGTGCGGACGCGCAATTGGCAGCGAAAGATTTGACCTCGGCGATCTAGCATGGCTCACTCTTGGCGCAGTTGGCGCGGTACGCCCACCGACATAGCAGAGAGAGCGTTAGCGTTGAAGAGGGCACGATGAGAGTCGCATCAATGCGGAAATCAACGGGCAAGGAAGGGGTCCCATTTCTCGGGTTCTGGGCCGTTTCTCATGGTTTTTTCCTTCTTTCGTGTACCACTCACCATCCTAACTTAATTTGAAATGGGTTGCCTTTTCAGCGTGAATTCCGCCCTTGAGAGATTCCATGTAGCGCCCGGAGTTTCACGGTAGTTTGTGGGGTTCTATCCAGCACCCCGATTGGCCCCTACTATTGACGTCATAGGTTAAAGGCACGGGTCGCGGGCGAATTGGTGTATATTTTATTTGAAAATTTAACCAGAAAAGTGAAAAGAAACCTAGTAAGAAATAACAAAAAAAGCGCCATGAAAATTGAACTTTTTTTGTGAGGTCGGTCGTGGTACTATGGAGAGACACAGTGTTGCAAAGAGAGGGAAAACGTTAGAGAGAACTTCGTAGTGAGGGTGCAGACACCGCGTATGCTGTGACTGATAAAAATTGAAGCAGCTGCAGAGGTCAAGCGAATACATCAGCTCCCCCTTCGCGAGCTTTCGAGTCGCGGCGCGGACCCTGCTACCTCACACAAGAAATGCTCTGAGCTTCTAATTGCTACCCATGCCTTCAAAGGGACTTATGTGTCTGGCGGGTGTATCTTCAGAGAAACTGATCAACGCTCGCCGCTTGGTTCGTTTATGTGAATTTACTTACTGAATGTTTAGATGCGATTAGCCACTGGTAACAGCACGGACTCCTCGCCATTATTTGTCGTCTATGTAGTACTTAAGTGCATCACAATGGAATGACTGCTATTGGTTTTTTATTCTGTATGCCTATGTTGGAAGCGCTATTGGCGGAAACCGGTATTCTGTTATTTAAACATAAACTCTCAGTTCTCACAAGACCGATCTGGCAGTTAGAACAGTGTACAGGCCTTATCCATCTCGTTGGCTAAACCAGGGGATCGCACGTAACGATTGCTCCCAACCCTTGAGGTCATTGCGACACCACTCTGTCCATGCTTAAAAATAAGCCCTCTTCTCGCACAGAAGCCAATCTCCTCCGAACACGACCCCCCCCCCCCCCTAAAAAAATCACAATATAGCACCTCTTCGTTGAACTGGCAGTAATTGAGTTTTGGGAAGAAGCCTCACCTAAAATTCCGCTCAATACACCTCTTCCATTCATCCAGGTATATTCCTCAATTTGCTCGTGCTCCTGATGGCTTTTGCACCGGTCTCTCACTTTCGCCGTCGTCATGACATTTGCCCTAATTCTTGGCGCTCTGGATTTACTCTTTAGCCCCTCTTGATGTCATCAATTTCGCTGCCAAATTCGGTAAGTGTACGTCTATGTTGTTTTGATCGATTTACCTAATAAAGTTATTTAGCTCACTGAGTCTATTATTACTATATTACTGTTTACCTTACTATTCACTTTTATAAGAGGTTAACTTTTTTCTGCCCAACGAATTTGCAGAAGTAACGTTAAGGCACATGTTTTTTCTCCTCTGATCCCGTCAATAATAAATAGAACATAATTCATTAGTAATCTGTTCCGTGGAAAAGTTACGAAGCAATGCGTCTAATCTTTCCCAAGTATATTTTTTCGCTTGAGTGGTCTGAAAACGATGCTGACGTTGTTGTAGACAGTGTCGATAAGTCTGTTCTTCATTGATCAATTCAGATATCAAATTCGATCAATAAATTTCCTTTCAGGAATGTTTGGTGGTGCGCTGAATCTGCCAAATTTCATAGTTGAGCGACTGGCCGCTACTTTGTTGGTCGATAAATATGAAAAGTGTAATGACAACTTCCCGTTCTTCTCCACGTCTTTGATCCTGATTCAGGTGGGTGGTACTGAATTGAAGCATTGATGATGGATGTGGACCGAGTCGTCAAAATTTTGCTGGGCAAAGAAGCTGGGTTATCGCTAGAGGCGGTTCCTAGCTAGATGTCTCTATATGAAGCTCCCTCTGCGGCGACTTCGCTTCAGAGGTGAGTAGATGATGCACGCAGGCACTACCACTGATGCCATATTGTCGCGTCACCGCAATTTCCATGTCCTTATTTACTTTTGAAGTCTAAAGGTGTGTGACGGGACGTTACTGACGCCGACCCTTCTCAGACACACGTTCGTTTCTCTCGACATGGAGAGTTTTTACAACTTTTGTTCTCACCCTATTCTAGAAGTTCATTTCCACGAAATTACCCCTCAAAGGCACGCTATGTAGTAGCGAAAGCGAGTTAAATAAAAGGTTCAAACATAAAACAGTAGGTGCTGATTGATTTGCCACTGGAAAGGAAAACAAACCTTAGGAATATTTTTGGAGAGACCCTCGT